GCACCCTCACTACCATGTCTATAAAATATTTCCTTCCAGGCAATAGGAAGACTCTCATCACCATATCCAATGAAAAGGACCTTAAGCGCATGATTCAGTTTCACTGTGCATCTGACTCTGCTGAGATATATGTTATGACTGAAGAACCACTTGCTCTTGATCTGTCCACCATGCCAGGCAGTAGGTAGTTTTTCTTGCTGTCTTGTGACACACATCTTAATCCATTCCTTAGATAAAAACATGTTGGGGCGGGCTTATGTTCTTGCAGGTCAAGCCGTACAACTCTTTCAGAATCTGGTGTTCCAATTGATGCTCCACCGGAGGATATCGTTGATGACCCTGACCAACATGTCCTTCTTCTTGATGATGATGCCTTTGACATAGTTGGTGACACAAGCACAACTGCCGATCCTCCCCAAATCGAGATGTCTTCTGGATTGCCCATTTCCGTTTCGTTTGCTGTCAACTACAATGAAAAGAACGCGAAAGCTGCTCAGCAATGGCAGAACAGTATTACTGGGGTAGGCCAAAGGTTCAACACAGTACATGAGTTTCGTGAAACATTGCGAAAGTATGCTATCGCCAATCAATTCGCTTTCAAGTACAAGAAGAACGACAGTCACCGTGTGACTGTGAAGTGCAAAGCAGAAGGATGCCAATGGAGGATTCATGCTTCAAGGCTGTCAACCACTCAATTAATCTGCATAAAGAAAATGAATCCCACCCATACATGCGAAGGAGCTGTTGTGACAACAGGTTACCAGGCAACGAGAAGCTGGGTGGCAAGTATTGTGAAGGAGAAGCTGAGAGTGTTCCCTAATTACAAGCCCAAGGATATTGTCAATGACATCAAAGAGGAATATGGGATCCAGCTAAACTACTTCCAGGCATGGCGTGGAAAGGAGATAGCCAAAGAGCAGCTTCAAGGCTCATACAAGGAGGCATACAGTCAGCTACCAATCTTCTGTGAAAAGGTAATGGAGTCAAACGTGGGCAGTTATGCAACTTTCACTACTAAAGAGGACTCGAGCTTTCATCGGCTCTTTGTTTCATTCCACGCTTCACTGTTTGGCTTCGAACAAGGCTGCAGGCCTCTGCTTTTCCTTGACGGTATATTTTTGAAGTCAAAATATCAAGGCAACCTCTTGGTAGCCACAGCTGCTGACGGAAACGATGGTGCTTTCCCTGTAGCTTTTGCAGTAGTGGACACAGAGTCCGAAGATAACTGGCATTGGTTCTTACTTCAACTTAAGGCTGCACTCTCCATGTGCCGTGGCATTACTTTTGTGGCAGATCGAGAAAAGGGTCTACAGAAGTCCATTGCTGAAGTTTTTCAGAACGAGGACGTATACCATGGGTTCTGTGTAAGATATCTGGCTGAACAACTCATTAGAGATTTAACAGGACATTTTTCTCATGAAGTTAAGCGTCTTTTAGTTGACGATCTCTATAAAGCCGCATATGCCCTTAAACCTGACAGCTTTCACACTTGTGTTGAAAGGATCAAAAGCATTTCAGTGGAAGCTTACAACTGGGTTTTCCAAAGTGATCCTTCTCACTGGGCTAATGCGTTCTTCCCTGGGGCCCGCTATAACCACATCGCATCAAACTTTGGTGAGCTTTTTTATAACTGGGTAGCGGATGCACATGAATTGCCCATCACCCAAATGGTGGATGCAATACGGGGTAAAATCATGGATTTGATTTATACTAGAAGGACGGAGTCCAATCAGTGGATGACAAGGTTAACACCGTTTATGGAGGAGAAGCTGGAGAAGGAGAGCCTTAAAGTCCACTCTGTTCAGGTTATGATGTCAACAACAACACGCAATAAGTTTGAAGTGCACGGTGGGGAATCGATCGAATGTGTTGACATTGACCAATGTGATTGCAGCTGTAGAGAATGGCAGATTTCAGGCTTGCCTTGCTGCCATGCTATAGCTGTCATTGGCTGCCTTGGCCGTGATCCGTACAACTTTTGTGCTAGGTACTTCACAGCGGATAGTTACAGGTTGACATACTCCGAGTCGGTTCATCCGATTCCGTGTTTGGATAGTAGCAGCAGCAACCACACACATAGAAAAGATGTTTCTCAAACTGTTGCAACTGTCACCCCTCCCCCAACCCGGCGCCCGCCGGGTCGGCCCACTACGAAGAATGTCGGTCTCAGTGAGAGGCGTCAGGTTCAATGCAGTAGGTGTAAGGGTATTGGGCACAACAAGTCGTCATGCAAAGAAGGGGTGATAGAGAGCTAATTTATGTAGATCTTTATAGATGCTGTGTATGAGCCATTTGCATATATCCATTTGTATATGCGGTCCCGGCTTGAGTTTATTTACTGTGTAGCTGTTATAAGTGACTGATTTTGTCTCCTAGATTGCCGATTCATTTTCCCCTATCATTAATGTTCTTTTTTAGTATTTTTCTTCTTGATCTTTCTCTTCTTGAATAATGTACATTTTACTCCTTCCGTGCTTATGATGCTAACCCTCCTTGCTGTTTAAGCTTGCATGTTTCCCTTTACAAAGTTTTACCTAACTTCTGCTGTTCGGATTTTTCTGAGACTCGGTAATACGACGTGAACTCAGACATGGATTTAACGGGATCAGAAGCCATACTGAATACTGTTTAAACTATTGTGTTTTAATTTATGGGCTTAACGGGCTAATCTGTTAAATTATGCTGTCGCAGTTTGTTATGTTCGACCTTTTATACCTGTTATAGCATTCGATTCTTTAACATGAAAAAAATCACTACTAGCATCTGACATTACGTTTATTTATGTTTGTCACGCAACTAATAGTTTTATCAAACACACACACACACATATCTAATATATGTATGAATTTTTGCTGCTGTTCTGCATTTTGTACATTACAAAGCTGTAATTTTGGTTGACTAGTTAGTTGCTGAGAACTGCTTTATTAGATAGCCTAAAGCTCTAATTTTGGTTCAGTAATTGTTGTTGCAAACTGCATTTTTAGACAGCCTAAAACTATAATTTTGGTTGAGTTTTAGTTGTTAAAAATTTGCATTTTATACACCCTAAAACTGATTTTTTTTTAGTATTTTATAAAGCCAAAAGTTAATGATGAAATGAGAAAGATGGAAGTTGATGAAGATGGAAGACGATGAAGATCATGATTCTTATGGTGAATAAGAGGTATGAATGAGAGAAAAGAAAGAAAAGAACGAGAGGAGAAAAGTTGATTTGGATTCTCTGCCGCATGGCATAGGTGCTTGCGACATCCAACGATGATGGCAACAGGGGTGGAGAGCTATTAAAACCACGCACCATACCTGACTGTCATAGCCAGATAGAGAATCTGGATCCGAGAAAAGTGAAGAATGAGGGTGGATTAAAATTGATAGTATATGGACAAAAGGTGTATTAGATAAAAGGATCAAACTTGACACTTTGATTGTACCTAAAACTTAGTCTAAACACAAAGATATTTAATTGGTCTAAAACACCACCAAAACAACCTTTTGAGGTCATTTAAGACACCCACTATAAGTAGCCTATCAATAGAGAGCCGGGAACTAATATCCAAGTGTATTTTTATGTCTTCTCATAACCTATCACGAAAGTTAAGAAAAACCTCTATAAAAGTTTTGTCATATCCAAAATACTCTAAAATGATACGTAAGATGTCGCCTTCAATCCTTCAATTTGTTTCTAGTGAAGTGGAATTCTATAGTTATGTATCATTATAAAAGTTGGGCTATAGAGAAAGAAGTAGAAAAATGAGAGCAAGGAAAATATTAAATATGAAGTAAAACAATCTGAAGTATAGATTTTGATTAGGTCAAACGCAGATGTCTAACCAAAGTGGTCCCATTGATTAATTTTGGTTTGGGTTGGGCGCCATAAAGGAATAACCCAATTTTTGTGGTTTATGGGTGATTCTTTATATAGAATTTATAATTGGATGATGAAACACATCTTTTGGAAGTCTAGGATTGTTGAGTAAAACATATTGATTACCTTTGGTTCTATTCTTTACATTATTGAGAATACTTTTAGAGATTAATTGCTAGACAGAATTTTGAATTGAAAGATTGTTGACATCTTCATAAAATACTTTTGTCGCTTAATTTAGCTTTGTACATGGCCTTGGTATCCAATTTGGATATTACGATAGTACAAGTATAATTTAACAAAGTATTGTTCTCAGAAGTAATTGTGTATGTATATACGATTAAAATGAATGTTATTACCGTGTATTATTTACAAAAATTTGATCTGCCAAATTTAGTGACTGTAATAGCAGTTTAATACGGAGTATATTTAAGAGAAAATGGTCAAATTAGGCCTTCTACTATAGCGAAATCGTCACATAAGATCATGTACTCAATAAAGTGTCAAATAAATACTTCTACCTAAAAAATAATTGGATTAGTCATAACGACCCACAACCTCCTAATCTCGATTTTATCTTACATGTTATTTTCGCCTTATATTTATTTCAATCCTGGCTAAATATTCCACATTAGCCTTAGAATCTGTTTTAAAAAGATAGTCGGATGTACACTAAAATCGAGATTTCGAGGTTGTCAAAAGGTAGTTCTGACTCATTTGATTGCTTTTTATAAGTAGACGTATTCATATGACACTTTATTGAGTACACGGTCTTATGTGACGTTTTTGTAATAGTAGAATACTTTATTTGACCCTTTTCTCTGTATTTATTGTAATAGCTTATGTTTAATTTTTACACTAAAGTGACTCTAAGATTAAACAATAATAACTATTATTCATAATTTTATAAATAAATTTCATTTTTTTTTAAATCACTTATTATTATTTTGATGATTAAAAAAATCTCTTACGCCCTCCGTCCCATTGAACTTTGCCAACTTTCTCTTTTTTGTCGCCCCAAAAAACTTTGTCACTTTCCTATTAAAACAACTAATTTGTGATTCTGCACATTTCTCTCTCATCTGCACAATTCTTAACCACACAATTTTTATCATTCTTATTTCCCATTCACTTTGCACTTGACAAAACTATTGAAACGAGGAGCTTGTGGGAGGAAAAGCATCATTGCATCAAGAGTCGGAGCAAATAAACGAGACGCTGCCGGATTCCGGATACACCTCTTCCAAACGGCCAAACCTCAACTCCAAGCTCCGACTCTCCGGCGGGTTTGATCTGACCCGGCTACATTCACTGCTCAACATCCCGCCACTGCGGGAAACAAAACTTCACCCCAAGCCCCGCACCCTTCTCTTCTAACTGTTAACACCACCGGAGCCTGTGTTTATCCGGTTATCCTTATCCCTGTCGCATCCATTCTTCTTCTCCGGTTTCAATACGACAGGCGGAGACCTGTTCGAGGCTTTCCTGCGCCCAACACGGCGCAATTACTGATTGGCGAGGCCGTTATTGTTCGGGGAATGCATAATGCGATAGTAGCCAGATTTTCGTATGACCTTTGTTGAAATATCAAACTGGTGGTTCTCTGATTTATTTTGAGGAATTGAAATCACACGAGATGAGCAGATCTCCGTCATTCTCAGTGAAGTCGGATCCTAATCTGAAGGTTGATGATAAATTATTGCAACAATGGGTTGTTGCCTTTTGCATCATTAGGTTCGATCTTGAACAAGGACAACTCATTGAAGAGTGCTACCCTCCAGGCGCTTTGACCCAAAGTGAGGAGCTTGAAGTTTCTTTTAGTTCGTTTCCAGACTCTGTTTCTCAATATCACAATCGCTCAAGCATCCACGATTCCATCTTTTTCTTCCGCTTCCGCAGACAGCAGGTTTCTCAGTTGTCACCTGAGATCGTTGAGGTTGACAGGGTTCGAGCATCTAAAAGTTTGTTGGGCGGTGAGTTCCCTAAAACAATAACGAGAACTAACCATATAGCTGAATCGCGATACCTGTACGGGTTTGTATTTAATAGACAGAGGCATGATGAGAGGCTGAAGCGTGGTGGTGAGCAAAAATCAGTGGTGATTCTCTCACATAGTCCATTCTCAAGTGTGTTTAGACCTTTGTTGCAAATATTGGGACCGTTGTATTTTGATATTGGACAGAAAGCCCTTCATTACGTTGCTTCTTATGTGTCAACGTGGTCTTCTCCTGCACCTGGTCAGTTGATGGATCTTCCCATTGGAAATGCTACCCTAAAAGTGACATTGCCATCTGCCCATTGTTTGCCCCTAGATGGTGGTGGAGTATTCTTTGAAGAGTTGCTATCATCTGTAGCTCCTTCCCTGCAGCCTTCCAATCAGTCAGTTCCACACGGACTGTTTCATGATTCGGATCTGTTTGGCATTTTCAGAGGGCTCTTAATGCAGGTATGGAAGCTGTGGGAACTGCTACTCATTGGAGAGCCTATTCTTATCATTGCTCCAACTCCTCCTCAGTGTTGTGAAGCAGTTTCTGGTCTGGTTAGTTTGGTTTCTCCCCTACTTTGTAGTATTGATTTCCGGCCTTATTTTACCATCCATGACGCAGAATTTGCTCATTTAAACACCCTGCCAGAGGGTGCTACATTTCCTCCGATGGTTTTGGGTGTCACCAATCTATTTTTCTTGAAAGCCCTTCGCAATATGCCTCACATTGTGTCAGTTGGAAGAACTGCCCCCAACTCAAACCGACTGTCACTTGGCAATAGATCCTCTCCAGGGATGAACATGAAGAAGTTTACGCCATTGAACTTTTTGAATGCTGTGAAGATGAAGAGGGAGGGCCCTCTTTGTCTGATGACAGAGCACAAAGAAGCAGTTTGGACCACATACACTGCCATCACAAAACCAGACACTTCAATCTTGAACAGGCTGATTGATGCAGGAGTTTCACCCCGTGTAGAGGAATCAATGTCTCTTGTTAACAATGAGATCTTGCGCCGTCATTTCTTGGAGCTCACGACCAACTTTTTGTCCCCATTTGCCCCATATTTCAGGGTAACCACACCTTCTGAAGGATTATCCCCATTTCTTGATCCTCCTTCCCTTCCTTCTTTCAATGACGAGGAATTCCTTTCAATCTTATCAGCACGAGGACCTGGAAAATTTTTACTGAAGAGGATGACTTCAAACTGGCTGGATTTATACAGGCAATTGATTTATCATTTTATTCATTGGGCATCTTTCAGATCTTATCACAGTATCGCACACATGTTGGCTAAAAGACTTCCATTTGTTTTACATTCTCATCCTCAAATCTCATTATTTTTCTTGTAATAATTTATAACATGTCATTCTTAGCCAAGTAATTAAGATAAATTTCTCTACTGTATTGAGATGTTATTTACATATGCAATGTAGGAGGTTTCTAAAGGGGCATAACTTTATTCCATGGTTTCAAAGAAAGCGTGCCATTGCTGAACATGAACAGTATAGGTTATGGAGGCACGCAAGAATGAAGACTGACATAAAAGAAGTAATATCTCAAATGTCTGAGTTGGAGATAATTGATGCTTTCAATGCAATTGAAAGAAATCTTGTCAGGGAGATGCAGGCAGGTTCTTTCTACGTAAGGAGTGATTGTGTTTTGTCATATATTTATTTGTTATCATTAAGCTTTAAATAATTATCGAATATACTCCGTATGTGCTATTGAACCATTGTGGAGGCTTGACAGTTGTGGTATAAGCTTGAGGGTTCGCTGTCTCTACTTGTATATCTTGACTCTTGAGTTGAGAACATATAATGATTTCCCCATGATAATATGTCCAAAAAGTGAAAATAATAATATTACTTAACAGTGTAATAAATACAAATATGACTTAACACATCATGATCAGATCTGTAACATTTGAGAATATGTATGTATATAGCTTTAAAGTTTAAACAATTCTTCTCCATTTTTGAATTGACAACACCACTATTTGTGCCAGTTACTATCAATCTGTCTCCGTGGAGTCAATAATATATGTTCCATCTGTTTTCATTTAAGACAATTCTTTGCAACAGCACTGCAGGAGCAGTAATGCAGACTCGGGTTCCACTTGTCACAAGCTAAAGGGGGATCTCCAAGCGGTATTCAGTGTTCTCTCCCTGGACATTCAGCATCTCATGCTAATGAATCCTGAAAGAGCTGCTCTCCTCAAAGGCAGTCATGAAGGTTCATAGCACTTCCACCCACTTTGCCATCTACATGACTGAAACATAAGCGTTTTGAGCCCTGGTCGTGAAGCAATTATGTCTTTCATCCACTGCTGCTGAAAGATATATATGGAGCAATTCTTCACATTCTCTTCCTGACTGTCATTCATTCGAGCTAACCAATTCATAGATTGCTCTCCCATTCAGGTCGGTTAAGTAGTTTGCTTGTATGATTTCCTGCAATTTGCTATTTCATGTTTCTTAAATCTAGCTTCTCATCACCATTTCCTTAATCCTAACAATGTTTTCGTCAGTACATTAAATGAATAGTGTGAATTATTTTTTCTCAAATCAGTTAATGCTATAAAGAAATGCAATAAATAAATATAGTGAATCATTATAGGGTACTTAAAATGTATACACGGGAGACATTCATATATATGACATACATTCATGGGATGATGATTACATGACTAATGTTTCATCATCCCACTAATGTGTGTCATGCAAACTTCTCTAGAATGTACACTTTTAATGTCGCCCTGGACTTGCTCAAAATAGTAGTAGTGTCAGCATTTACACCAGGCATCCTTCATGTCGCCACCTAATTTGAGATGCACAGTGGCAACTGTATTTCAATCTCACTTCTATGGTTTCATGTTCTTTTGATTACTATTTAGATTTAAGCAGCTGTGGGAGATTTCTTGTTCAACTAAACCATCCGGAAAGCGGAAATGACAGAGATCATATGCTTTTGCAGTGTTATGATTAGATTTAACATGCCATGGAGGTTTATGTACCGAAAGCAGAGAAGTTACGATTGGACCTTGGCGTCCTTCAGTGTACATTCACCTGACCCGCACTGTCATATAATTAAGACAAAGAGGTCGGCTCAACTTTATTAGTGAATGAAAGGGAGTAGGGTGAGCATCTTTGCTTAATTATTACAGTATTCCCGGGTCCTTTTATTGATAAGTTTGCACTTGGTAAACTTAGGGATGTAACACCCCCCCCCCCCCCCCCCCCGAAAATGAACGAATTTCAGCAAAAAATGCATTCAAGTAAGAAAATACTAAGGAAGTAGAATTGCGGATTTTCCTTTTCCTGCTTGAATATTGCTTAACATTTGTGACCTTGCTCTGTGGACTTTTATGCAAAATAAAGCTGATGATTTTAATGCAGTGGAAAGCAAAGTGTACGACAAAAATCTGATTTAATCTACATAAAATCATCTATAATATCAACTAGACATTAGCCAAATTCGTTTGTATTTCATATTAATCACATAATCTAATATCCTAATATTGTTTCATTTCATGTCCCAAAGATAGTGAACAGATGCAATAAAATTGTTTTGGCATTAAGTTTCACGTTACCAGGCTGTTTAGCAAGTGGCCCGATCGATTGAATGTGTTGAAATTGTTAAGCCTATTTGGAAAGGCTTGATGTAGCCTGAACCATTTTAAGGGAGGCACTGAGGCATGTTATATCCCAAAACCAAGGGGCACATCCCGAGATATCACAACGGCCATAAAAATGATGACACCTCATCCCGACTCCCCCGAGGGTCCCTCAGCCGGATGTAAAATCCTTGGGATAAGGGTCAGTTTGGTCCTCGAAATTGCAAAAAAGGGGTCAAATAAGTCCTTGTATAGAAAATTCTATCCGGACGTGCTATTTGAGGTGGCTCCCGGTGGAATTTTTTGATAAAATTTTCTGAGCATCTTATTCATTAAGTCTAGTTTACTCATACCAAATTTTAGATAAAAATTCAATCGGGAAGACATTCAAATGAATTCTTGAAGATAACCGTGCCGTTAAAAGCGCAGTTATCTTCAAGAATTCATTTGAATGTCTCCCCGGTTGAATTTTAAGCTGAAATTTGGTATGAGTAAACTAGACTTAATGAATAAGATGCTCAAAAAATTTCATAAAAAAATTCTACCGGGAGTCACCTCAAATGGCACGTGCGGACATAATCTTCTATATAAGGACTTATTTGACCCCATTTTTGCAACTTCGAGGACCAAACTGACCCTTTACTCTAAAATCCTTGATAGCTCCGAACTTTCAATTCAATTCATAGTTTCTATACATTGATATCATCTAGTCACGTATTGGAGATATTTTGAGCTTCTTTTGTTTTCCTTTTATAGAGAAAAGGAGGGAAAACTGGAAAAGTGAAGAAATTATTTTGACAAACACCAAACCAAAGATATACTCCGTACTAATTACAAAATCTTGTCCGTTCACATATATACACATAATGACATAATCAACGGATTATATCATGGAAAACTCAATTCGTTTGACCGTTTGACCAAAATATAGAAATTTTCTTCAAATAGAACTAGAAAAAAATTACTACCTCCAACCCAATTTGATGTTCTCAGTTCCTATTCAATTGATCAACACAAATTTTTTCAAACCGGAACAATTCAATTCAATCAATTTCATCCCATTTAATTCAACGGGAATCGAACTTGTTTAATTGGTTCAAATTTCAAAACAGGAACGGACACGAAGAACTAGTTTCTTTTGTTTTTTTAACAAAGAAGACTTATATTAGAATAGTAGAAACTAGCATAATAGTAAAAGAGGACAAATCCTCTCATCTTAGTCACCAGCCCTAGGATTAGACATAAAACAGTAAATGTTAAAAACACAACAATTCACTAACCACTTAACGGGCAACTTGAAGCTTATGGTGACCGACAGAAAACCAATTTCTAAATTATTAATTTAATTTACTAAAAAAATACAGCTAATTTGTATAATAAAAATGGAGAATTTATTACTAATAACATTACTATTACTATTATTATTTATATATATATATATATATATTTATTTTTATTAGTCTTAGAGAGCAAAGATTGGAGCTATTTGAGTGTAAAATAGTATAAGAATATATAGATGAATAAAGAATTGGGACTATACACTACATATTAACATAAGATTACTATTTATATTTTTTATTACTATTATGATTTTTATTATTCTATAAGTATTTTATGTTATTACTATTAATTAATATATTAAAATATAGCAAAACCGATTTAATCCATTTCAAACCGAAACAATCTGGTTTTTAATGGAAACCAAATTTATAAAACTAGATCGGATATAAACTGGTTCGATTCGGTTCCGCTTTCTCCGGTATTGGCTGGTCTAATACCGAACCGTTATCGGAACCGTTTGGTTCAGATCAAATATTGGAACCCGGGACAGGTAACTGTCTTTACATGGTCGGGTACCCGGTTTTGATCTGGGACCTGAAAACCGGACCCGATCCGGTCACGCACGTAGCAGGCCCGGGAGCGCCTATTGGGTCCATTTCTAATCCCTTCCATGCTCCTCCCTTATTGTTGTTGTTGTTGTTGTTGTTTTATTATGTATTTTAATTATTTTTATTATATAATTGTAATTGTAATAATATAAAGAGGAAAGTACGGAAAAGTTATTTTCGGTAAGGCCCATTTTCAAATTGGGGTATGTGTTTTATTTTTTAACAACAAAAAAGTTACAATAGACCGCTGTAGTATAAGTGTGAGAACAAATATATCTTTGTTCTATTATTTGGAATAAATAATAGTAACTACTACGTAGTGATGAGCAGGTTTAAAGAAAAAAATAGGGGCATGTTTTTGGGACTTTTTTAGTGATTATAGGGGCATGAACTGGGATTAAGTGGTTAAGTAATGATAAGTGATGATAATATCCAAGTAATATCCATAAATGTAATTAAGTGATTATACTCCATATAAGCGATGATAATATCCAAGTAATAATATTAATAAAAAAAGTTTGATTAAAAAATATATATCAAAATTTTTCATTTTTTACGATCTTTCATATGGTACTAATATTGCATATAAAAACAATCAACTAAAAATAGATATTTGGAAATAAATGTTTTTTTTTCAATTTTTTTATATACAATATTGATATCATTGGAAAGATCATAAAACACTAAAAAATCTAATATGTTTTTTTATATAAAAAAATAGACTATAAATAAAAAAAGTTATAAGTCTTAACACATTTTAAAGAAAAAAATGGGATGAAATCGGTTGAATTTAGGCATGGACCGGGACCGGGCCGGGGCCGGGCCTGACCGGGCTTTTTGGAAGATAATTGAGGCCCAGAACCGGCCCAGTAATCCACCGGGTCCGGCCGGGCCGGGTTGATTCCCAATTTGTTTTTTTTTTTTTGCTTTTCTAATTAACCCCGACCCCCCCCCCTCACCCCACCCCCCAAACCACCCAGCCCAAACCGTGAAAATAAAAAAAAATGAAAAAAAAAATTAAAAAAGCCCGAACCGGGCCCGACCGGGCCGGTTCCTAATTTGGGTGACCCGAGCCCACCCAACTTAACCCCCGGGCTGGGCCTAACCGAACCGGTCGCTACCGGGCCACCGGGCCGGTTCCAAACAGTGTCGGTTCCGGGCCGGGCAGCTCGACCCGAGTCCACCACTAGTTGAATTGAATTATTCCGGTTTTAAAGAACAAAAACTGGATTGTTCCGGTTTGAACCGGATTAAATCGGTTATGCTATATTTTAATATATTAATTAATAGTAATAAATAAAATAATTATAGAATAATAAAAATCATAACAGTAATAAAAATATAAATAGTAATCTTATGTTAATATGTAGTGTATTGTCCTAATTGTTTATTCATCTATATATTTTTATACTCCATACTATTTTACACTCAAATTGCTCCAATCTTTGCCCTCTAAGACTAATAAAAATAAATAAATATATAAATAATTTAGAAAGTGGTTCTCTTTCGGTCACCATAAGCTTCAAGTTACCCGTTAAGTGGTTAGTGTACTGTTGTATTTTTAACATTTACTGTTATGTCTAATCCTAGGGCTGGTGACTAGGATGAGAGGGTTTGTCCTCTTTTACTATTCTGCGAGTTTCTACTATTCTAATACAAGTCTTCGTTATTAAAAAAAAAAAAACTGGTTCTTCTAGTCACGTTCCTGTTTTGAACCAATTAAACAAGTTCGGTTCCGGATCAAAACTGGAATATATCCAATCCGATTTTCGATTTCAATTTTTTTTTTTTGCAAATCCGGTTCTGGTTCCAATCCAGTTTTGAACTGAAGCAGACCCCTATCCGGGACCGGACCGCTCAAGTACCCAGGACCGGCCCAGACTTGGAATATAATGGTTCAGTTCTTGGCTTCTCTTTTCACCGGGACAGGAACCAGGACCGGGTCCATCCCTAGAAGTGATGAACATATATTTGCTCGTTCCTAGCCACACGATATAAAGTGAAAATGAAGCTCAAAGTTGATGAATCTGCATAACATTCACAAAAACTCACAAGTTGAAAAAACCACAAATATTTTACAACCAACGGCAGCTTAGTATAATACTCCATTAATAAAGTAACAAATCCAGTCCCTTCTTTGAATTCTCTGACGTAAATCATATTGTTCTTCCATTTTGGATGAGTGAAATTTCTTCCCTCACCTCAGCCACACTGCACCTTATGATGCACCGCAAGCATTAATAATCAATTTTTGCGGCATTGTTTCAAAAGTAATCACTATGTGTCACCCCGGGAAGTTGAGCATTTCCGAGAAAAGAAACAACACATCTCTTTTGATGCCATCATGATGTAGTTAATAGAACAGACCGTTGCTTGATGGGATAGACCGCTAACTCAGGACTTAGTTGATTGGATAGACTGCCATTTCGGGACTTGGTTGACTGAGCTGCTTCTAGATCAATCCATTGTTAAGGCATTTGAAGTACAAAATATTGAAGCCACCTTCTAGATAGTAGCTTGGTGTTTAGGCAAAATAGAAACCAGCGTAGGCAAGGCAGTTTCAATGAGTTAAACAGAATATTCCCCAAATATTTAAATTTCCAAAGATGGTGAGATTATTGAGGTGACTTTTGGTTCATGAGAAACCTTACATGGAGAATATTTGTTATTCCTCATTGGAAAGACGAGCATTAAACCAACAAGGGCAGTATACACCATGGCTATACCAGTGGAGGATATGCAGATCCAAAATATTCACCATCAAAATGACATCCCAATGTAGATAATAAGAGGATCCGCTCCAAATAATCTCTCATTGTGAAGATGGTGAGATTATAGTTATTCCTCGTTAGAGAGAGCATTAAACCAGCCTGTGAAGTATACAGAATGACTATACCAG